AGGGTAGTTGGTTCTAGGATGTTGATTTTGAAATATGCATTTTGGGTTTTGGATTGTTGACTGTAGATTGTTGATTGTGTTTGTTGTTCATGCTTTGTTAATCATGGCCCGTTGGTTGTTGGTTCAGTGCTATTGGTTCTTTGTTGTTGATTGTGAATTATGGATGTTGGATTTTTGATTTTGGGTTCTCAGTTGTCGGTTGTTGATGGTTATTATTTATTAGTTGTTGCTTTCGGGCTGGTTATTGTGGTCGTGGTTGTGAGTATTAGCTTGTTGAGTTTGGGTCATTGTTTGTGGTTTTTTATTTGTTGGTTGTCGCTTGTAGAATTTTGTTCGTGATTTGTTAATCATGGCTTTTCGACTGTTGGTTGTGTGTTTTTGACTTTAGACTCTCGGTTGCAGACTTTTACTTGCCGACTTCTCGGTCTGCTCATCGCAACTGTGATCTGAGTTGACGCTCTAGCCCAATTGGAAGTCGAATTGTGATCGTGTGTGCTGGTTCTCGCAAGTGAGTCTGCCGTGCTCGGTGGTCGTCTCCTTCTCTCGGCGCCTGCTCAAAATGGCGCTACACCCATCCGCACACCTATTTTCAGCCTCATTCACACTCATCCGCATGTCTCCTTTGCTATGCGTCTCTTTGTCTCACTGCATTCTTGTCATCCTTCCTCTCTCTCTCTCTCTCTCTCACTCACTCTCTCTCTCACTCTATGCATACCCACAAGAGCTTTGCACGGCTGACAATGCGGATGTCGATTTACCCGCCCATGCATGTATGTCTCTATTTGTCTCATTATCTCTCACTGTCTGTTTGGATAAACTTTATTTCTTTCGTCACTTTTGACCAAATATGCTGAATACAGCTCCCATCTCAAAACCCACTTTTACCACCTGTCTATGCGTCAGATTGTATGCATGCTTGTTTGTTTGTTTGTTTGCTAAAAAGTTTGTAGGTATTGCTGTTTGTTTCTGTCAACGCAAGTTGGCGTTAAGTGGTCTTGTGTCGTTAAGATCGGCCACTCGAAGACGGCCATGTTGTCTGCGGCGAGCGCGGATTCGGAAGACGACTCGTCGAGGCCGACTCGAGGCAGATGCACCTCGCCGAGCGACACCAACCAATGCACCATCCAAACGTCTCACCTTGACACAAAACGGCCAACTGGCCGAGCAATCTCTCTCTCTCGCTCGCTCGCTCTCTCTCGCTCTCAAACAGCCAAACCACCAAGTCATCTTCCAGTCTATTCATTAATTATTTAATCAGTCAAGCGACAAAGTAACCAGTGACAGACTCTCTTTATTCTCCCTCTCTCTCTCTCTCTTTCTCTCTCTCTCCGTCTCACTCGTCCTCTTAATTCGGTCAACCAGTCGGCTGATCTGTTTATCATATGATCGCTGCGACAGTCCAACCGGGCCATTGAGAGACCGACAAAAAGGGGCAATCACTGCTCCAATTAATTGGTAATTCACTCAATCACACCGATCAACGCAACGATCAACCAATCCAACCGACTGGCAACCGATGCAGCGCTAATTGTTAATCGATTGAACAACCCGCGAGTTGACTACCGTCTCCTTGACGCCGACCGAACCATCATCCACGAGCACAACAGCTTGCCTGCATCGAGCAAAATGGACGCCCCATTTCACCATTCGCCTCTCCGCTTCGTCTTTTTCTGCCCGATCCCGTCCACCCCGAGCTCAGATCAATCAAGATCGAGACTTGTCCACCAACCCAGTCTCAGACTTGACCTCTGTCGTCAGGCTGATTCGGCACAACGTGTCCCTCGACTACATACACACAGACATGTCGGAATGTGGAACGAGTGGTGTACACCCTCAAGTCTTGACCCAGAGCCAAAACAAGACGGAGACAAAGAAAGAAAGAGAGAGAGAGAGAAAGAGTTGGTAGGTCGGCAGAGGAACCCTGAGGCATGGTCTAGTCACAGCTTTTGTTGTTTCTTGTTATTTCATACCTCGTCCTCCGTCGTAGGGATGAGTCATTAGGCCTTGGAGGTATTCTATGATTTCTAGGGCCTGGGATAATTTTGCTGTTCCAATATTGTCAAGTTTGTCTCTGTTTTGCCTTGTTTGTGTTTTGGCCGGTCACGTGTGCGACACGGACCGACGCGTCATGGCGACATGCAGACACGTTACGGCGAGGGGATGGGGAAAAAGTGGTGAAGTTGGGCGCGCTTCTTTCACGTCCGCCAGCGGCGCCTCGGGAACTGGAGAATGTGATTGAAGAGGCAGTGTCGTGGCGTCATGTGGGGATCCGTTTGCAAGAGGAATGGATGATGTGTTCGCTATGAAATCGGGCCTGACTAGCGTGCTGTTGGTGTACCAGTCAGTGTGATTGATCTGGTGGCCGGTTGGTGGCTTCACAAAGTGGCCGCTGGAAACAAGCCGACCTGCTTGCCACGGCGACACGAAATGTACGCCAGTTTGCAGGGAAAACAGTCGTTGGCATGCGTTTCTCCTCTCTCGACAGACATCTTCCAAGCGGGAACAGATTATTGAATACAATTTCATCAAAGATGACCCATTCCAAACTTACCTTCCTCTTACAGCCTACATTTAGACTGTACAGACAAAAAGCGAAGAGAAGCGGAAGGAAAGAGAGAGAGAGAGAGAGAGAGAAGTAGATGGACAGGGAGACAAAGAGAGAGGGGCAAGCGGTGGACTGAGAGAGCGAGAGCAATAGAAGACGAGGGAAAGGGGAAGAGAGAAGTTGGCGGAGATGGAAACAAGGCTAAAGAATGAGAGAGAGAGAAAGAGAGAGGGGGC